GCGCACACACACACACACACACACACACACACACACACACACACACACACACACACACACACCTACACACACCTACACACACACACACACACACACACACACACACACACACACACACACACACACACACACCTACACACACACACACACACACACACACGCATACACACACGTCGTTCAACGAGACAGCTATTTGTAAGCCATAGGGGGGGCCCAGAAAATGTTTGGAAACCACTGGGGGGGCCCAGGAGAAAAAGTTTGGGAACCACTGCTATACTGTCAACATGGACCACACTCTCTGGGGAATGTTTCCAGTACCTTATGTACCTATGCTACAAAGGATTAAGACAGTTCTGAACGCAAAAGGCTTCCCAAGCCAGTACTAGAAGGCGTACCTAATAAAGTGGGTGGTGAGTGTATATTACATAGAAATAAGAAACTTACCTATAACTGTTAACTTTATAGGACTGTCACAAAATGTTACTTTAATGTCCGTGTACTCTATTCTGAAGAAGTATTTGTCGTCATGATCTTCTGTTAAATCAGGAATCCGAACGCTGCAGTTTCTTCTTCTCAAATCTCCAGTCATTTCCACTTGATGGGTGTTAATTGACCCACTGCTGTTAAAAATCACGTAACTTGATCCCACACCATGTACGGGCTTATGTTTCATCAAGACTACGTAATTGGGTTGGTACGAGTAATCATCTCGTTGATTAATTCTACATGCGATCTCCACACAAGATCCACTCAGAACTGTCATCTCAGGAGCAACCATTAAAACCAAACGAGGTGTTCCACTATAGCAATCTTGAAAAGCTCCTGTAAAACAGATAAATTATGAAAATAACATGGAGAAAAATCATCCTGTGACATCGACCATGTAACATGATGCTGAACTCCGATTCATCTTCATGTTACATGTGGAGCCTTTGAACCATGTTGGAATCAAATATTTCAGACTAGAAGTGATTTATGTGACGTCTCCAAATAAAAGGGAGTGAACAAACAAACTCACCTGGAGGAAAGAAGACAATCAGTGAAATGCTGACTATCAGGATGTTGTTAGACAGGTGACAGAGCTTCTTCATCTCCCTGACTGGAACAACCTAATGATGAGATTAACATTTTTTTAAAGCAGTCTCTTGATAAAATCAAAGCTTACATGATTAAAAGGCAGAAATGAAACATTTTGAAAAATAATTTGATTATTTCAGGTCATTAAAAATGATTCTGCATTATAATTAAAGTCAGAAAACATACATAAACATAAATCAAATCAACATAGACCTACCAAAAAGAGCTGCAGCTAAATTAGAACCAGTTTAGATTGAAAAACTGAATGTATTTTAGTTGATCAACAGCAGGTCAGACCACCACCTTCTGAGTTTCAAAGTAAATGTGATGGATATGTAACCTTTCTCTGTTCGTCTTAGGTCCATTAGGTTGACTTCACAACATACAGTCAAGCTGGCTGTGTTTATCACATAAAGAGTAAAAGTTGGTGGTTAGCATCAGGCCAGCAGTTTGTGCCACAAAGTTACTGACCGTAAAAAGGGACGGGCTGGCTGTGATTGTATTGTGATATTTAAAATCAATTTACATAAAACATCTACATAGCTATCATTTTCTTTATTATAAATGTCAATATGCAATTTTACTAGATGGAGAATACACACATTTTAATATTTAAAGACTAACACAACTGACAACTGAAATACTTTGTATCAAAAATTGAAGCATACTTAACAAGAGAGAAGGTCAAGCTGGTGGTTAACATCAGTCCAGCCCCTATTCATTAAATAAAAATACAATAAATAACCAAAAACAAACTACAGAGCAGTTGACGTCAGTTAACAGTTGTAAAGTTAAAGATATCTAAAATGTGTAATATTAATTATGAAAACAGCAAAAATACATACAAACCATGGAAAAAACATTAAACACTGTATGTTATTAAATTTGTCTAAAATTATAGTACTTGTAAAGAAAGCACAGAGCTGATCTTAAAACATACCAGAGTTAAAGATGGCAAAAGGGGACTAGCCTACTGTTACTGGTTGCTATGGTAACTACTAACTGTCAGTAGATAACA